TTTTTTTTTCAGCATTATTTTATGCAGATAAACAGAGACCAGAAGGGAATGACAAAAAAAAAGGGGAAAAAAAAAGAAAATATAATGAAATAAAATAAAAAATAAAAGATAAATGAATGGAAGTTTGATATAAATGTATGTTTCATTGGAGCAAAGTTAAAAAGATCATTTCTTAATACTTACTTCTTTTTTAATGCTTAAGTAAATTAGTCTTCTAGAAAAAAGGTGGAAGAAAGAGGAGGATGGGAATGAATAGTGCTCATTACAAAAAGGTTATCGGTGGAGTTTAATTTGGTAAACAATGAGATCAGTAATAAAAATTGGATGATACCGGTAAACGATTAGGTTGTCTGCTAAAAAAAAGTCAAAGTTTTAGTATACACATCTTCTCTTGTCGATTATCGCTTTTGTTAGTGTTATTATAACTCTTATTATAATTATAATTATGAGTATTATTATTGTTATTGTTGTTATTATTATTACTATTATGATTATAATATTGAATAATGCGCAAAAATAGGGATTAGATGTGAGGTTCTTAAAAATGCATGTACGAGACAAACTTAAATAATTTCTGGTATATTGTCAAAAGTATATTAACAAAAGTTGCCGTATTTGTCAGCTCTAATTTGTGTCTTTTTAAAAGAATCTTTTTATAAGTCGGCAAAATAAAAAAAAGAAGGAGGGAAAAATCTATGTTTAATGGAAATTTTACCATTGAAGTTACGATAAGCGCATATACAAAACATACACAGACATATATATAATACATACGTAAACATATTTTTGTCCGATTTTTTACAAAAAGATGAAATTTTTTTCCAATTTTTCTTTTCTTTTTTTTTTTTCTGTTTGTTGCGACTTGCAGATCTTCATGTTGAAAACTTTGCGATTCGGAAGTTGTTATTAATGTAGCGGATTCGTGACAAAACATGTCAGAAATGGAACATATCAATGTGACTTTTGAATTGTCATCCGAATGGTTACAAATTTGATTTGATCATTGTGAAGTTCTTTTTTTCATCTCTTCCTTTTTTGCAGTAATATGTGATTATTTTCACATTGTGCACAAAAGGTTGTTTGCCGCGTGGAATTCGATTTAGCGTAATAGAGGCTAATTCGTTAAAAGTGAAGAGAGCGAACCGACTGAGCAAAATTTCTTTAAGACTAGATCGATCTGCTCGACGAATTAATGAATCAGTAAGCCATCGCAACAACATCAGCAGTAACAACAACGGCAACAGATTGGTGACAACAGCAACAACTGTGGTAACTAAAGTGGTGTTATTT